TCTACACCCACAAGTTGTATAATTCATTTTCAACATGGTGTTAGTGAGTACCCCAGCATGTTTTTTTTTTTTTTGGGTCCGGTCATGGGGCCTGAACTCTGGACCTGGGCACTGTCCCTCAGCTCTTCAGTTCAAGGCTAGTGCTCTACCACTTGAGCCACAGCGCCACTTCCGGCTTTTTTTTTCTTATGTGGTGCTGAGGAATCGAACCCAGGGCCTCGAGCATGCAAGGCAAGCGCTCTACCACTGAGCCACCTTCCCAGCCCCCCCAGCATGTTTTTTTAAGCAATTTTTTTATTGTGACTAAGTGATGACATAAATTTCACAGTTTTGTGGGATAGTGATACTTGGTTAAAGTCACAAACACATTCTAAACTTCATGGGGCAAATTCTCTTTATCCTGGTCTATAAAGTTTATGAGTTCCTTGAGCTTTGACAGTGCAGTTACTTCTTCCACATTGGGTGATATGTACATTTCTTTCCTTTTGCCTAGTGTCAGCTGTTCCCTCTTCCCCACTCATTCCCTCCCTCCCAACGCTGCCATTGAGTTGCTTAGTTTGCTTTGATCAATGACCAGTGCAGCTGATGGGCCCCGCTGTTGTAAGCTTTCTCATTTCCCTCTGTTTCAGTGTCCTCCTAATTTCTCTCTGATGTGCACATATATGCCATATATGTGGTCATCAGCATGAGATCATTTAGTAATGATTTGACCAGATGAGTGGAGGTCCTTTGTTTCTCGAGTCTTGTTTACTTTGTCATATCTCCTTACATTTTGAATTTAACATCTACTTATCAGGAAGACCATGTGCCGTTTGTCTCTTTGCTCTTGGCTTACCTCACTCAAAATGATTTTTTCTAGTTCTATCCATTTCCCTGTGAATGCCGTTATTTTGTCCTTTCTAATGGCTGCATAATATTCCATTGTATATAGGTTCTGCAATTTTTTGATCCATTCATCTGTAGTGAGGCATCTGGGTTGTTTATGGAAACATAAACATAAATATATGTTTATGGAAACATAATGGCTATTGTGAACAGTGCTGCAATAAACATGGAGGTGCATGTGTCCTTGTATCTGGGTTCCTGTTGTTCAGGATAGATGCCTAGAAGTGGTATGGCTGGGTCATAGGGGAGGCCAATATTTAGCTTTCTGAGGACCCTCCAGACTGCTTTCCAAAGTGGTTGTATAAGTGTGCATTCCCACCAGCAGTGTAATAGGGTTCCTCTTTCTCCGAATCCCCTCCAGCATTTGTCGTTGGCTGACTTTAGGATGTGGGCCATTCTGACTGGGGTAAGGTGGTATCTCAGGGTTGTCTTTATTTGCATTTCCTTTACAACCAGGGATGGAAACATTTCCTCATGCGTTTCTTTGCCATTTCTATCTCTTCTTCTGAGAAGTCTCTCTTTAGTTCCCTTGCCCATTTAATAATTGGTTTGTTGGGTTTGGGAGGGATTAGTTTCTTGAGTTCCCTGTATATACTGATATTAACCCCTTGTCTGATATATTGCTGGTAAATATTTTTTCCCAGTTAGTTGGCTGTCTTTCTAGTTTGGTTGCTGTGCAGAAACTTTTTATTTTAGGTAGTCCCATTTGTCGAGTCTCTCTCCAATATGTTGTGAACCGTGGAACTCTGTTCGGAAGTTCCTGCCTGTGCCTGTAAGTTCAAGTGTCTCTCCTACTCTGTCCTGCAATAGTTTCAGAGTTTCAGGTTTGCTGTTAAGGTCTTTAATCCACTTTGAGTTAATGTTAGTGCATGTGACAGGTCTACTTTTAGTTTTCTGCATGGCCGCCCAGTTTTCCCAGCACCAGTAGTTGAATAGTCTGTGCTTCTTCTACTGTATATCTTTGGCTCCTTTGTCAAATATCAGTTAACTGTAAGTGTGTGGTTTATTTCTGGATCTTCTATTCTATTCCATTGGTCTTTGGGTCTGTTTTTGTGCCAGTACCAGGCTGTCTTTGTTATTATGGCTCTATAATAGAGTTTGAAGTCTAATACCAGGGCTTTTTAAATGTTTTATATGATCATATATTTAGGTTATAAGACATGTCTTATAATATGATTTAACATGAGTTCGGATTATGGAGGCACCTAGGGAGTAGAACTTAAAGCAACATTTTCTGTCTCCACACCTCTTGTCCTGGCCCTGGGAGTGAATTTAGAGCCATGAAAATAACAGAAAGCCAAGCACCAGCAGCTCATACCTGTAATCCAAGCTACTCAGGAAGCCAAGACCAGATGATTTCTGTTCAAAGCCAGCAGGGGCAGAAATATCTGTATGACTCCCTCCAGTTCACCAGCACAATGCTGGATGGGAGGCATTGCTCAAGTAGTAAAGCATCAGCCAAGTAATTGTGAGTAATTATGAGGCTCTGAGTTCAGACTTGGTATTCTTCCAGCCTCCAGAGGGTGGAAAGAGAAAGGAAGAAAGGCAGGAAGAGGAAAGGAAGGAAGGGGGAAGACCTAGAATTGTGCTAAGGAGAGATTTGTGGCAGCAGCCTGTCATCCACCACAGCTGAAGCGTGACTGCTCACCATGTACGCACCACTGACGCAGGCAGGGGAGGAGGCGCTGTTACAGAAGTTGGAGTCAGTGGCAGGGAGAACCTTTAAACCACAGGGAGAATATGAGATCGAAAAGTAGAATTTGTTATTCTAGCCCTTATGGCGACAGTTCATTCAACAGGCTTAACAAAACCAGGAGCATCTGGTTTCAGGTAAACAGCTGAACATAATACATCCGAGGGCTGAAAAGCAGAAGAGAGAAGAATGCCCCAAGGACTAAGGCTGGAGTCTGTTGCTCGACTGCCAATGTTCCCTGCGCCTCGGGGGCTCGGCGGCTGCACAGTTTGCCTCCTCACTGTTCCATGTTGCCTTCACTGGCAGGATGCGCTGGTTCAATCACACACAGGGGAGCCCCTTCCCTTGCCACTGCAGACCCCCAGCTGATTTCAATGTGGCAGCAGCACTCCTATTTGGAACCAGCAGCATCTGTGTTCATGGCAATAACCACGGCGTCGAAGTTCTTCAAAGCAGTTGTTTTGCAAACGGGTCAAAAGGCGCTCCTTGACCCTATTCTCTCTTTCTTGCCTGGCTGTAACTTCCTTCTATCGGCCAGAAAGTCTGGCCCAGTTTGAACAACCACCACCAAAGATGATGTTTGATGATAGAGCCAAGGTTCATTCATTCTCTAACAGTCACTATTTTCCTCACACAATTCTTGTTTATTGTAAAAAAAGAAATGAATCAGCAAAACAGAAGTTAAAAGGCAATTGTGATTTCCCCCAATTAAAATATAACTCTTCTGAATTTCTTTTTGATTTTTTAAATTTAATTTTATCGTCCAGGTGATGTACAGAGGGGTTACAGTTACATGTGTAAGATAATGAGCACATTTCTTGTCAAACATTGTTATCCCCTCCCTCATTTTTTCCCACTTTCCCTCCCTCATCCCCTCCTAAACATTTTGAAAAACATTCAACCATATTTTTTTATACAAAAATATATTTTAAATTTTTCCTCAATTGTTATATATTGAACAGGTTATCAATAAATACAGATCAAGATCATTACCATTATTATTATTTTGTATGTGTGCCACTACTGGGACTTGAATTCAGGGCCTCATGCTCTCGCTTGGCTTTTTGCTCATGGAGGGTTCTCTATCACTTGAGCCACAGCTCTACTTCTGGTATTTTTCTAGTTAATTGGAGATAAGAGTCTCACAGATTTTTTCCTGCTGTGCTGGCTTTGAATTGTGATTCTCAGATCTCATCCTCCTGAGTTGCTACAGATTACAGATATCGCCTGCCAGTACCAAGCTAAAGTCATCACTTCTGGTGTGCTTTTACAAAGATAGTTGAACTATATACTTCTACTATCTGCTACTTGAGCTGCTGCAATATCACAGAAGCCTTCTTACATGCATATATATATATATATATATATATACATATATATATGTATATATATATATCAGATTCTTTCTTTTTTTTTTTTTTGCTGGTTGTGGGGCCTGAACTCTGGGCCTGGGCGCTGTCCCTCAGCTCTTCAGCTCAAGGCAAGCGCTCTACCGCTTGAGCCACAGCACCACTTGCGGCTTTTTCTACATATGTAATGCTGAGGAATCGAACCCGGGACCTCATGCATGCAAGGCAAGCACTCTACCACTGAGCCACCTTCCCAGCCCTCAGATTATTTCTTTAAGATGAATTGCTAAGACCTAGTGGCTATGTTAAGGGCGGGGAGGGGGGAAGGGAGAGAGAAAAAGCAAAGAAAAAAAATTAACTGTTAAAATAGTTAAAGTACCCAACCATCTTTAAAGTCTCAACACATAATACTGAACTGCAATTCACAACCATGGTACGAATTAATCCTTCTGTTGGCAGCACAGTGCTGTGTCAACTCCTCCAAGTCTTCACCAACACTATACTCACTGAGTACTGCTGCGTTGTGTACTTGGTGTTACATGCCAGTAATTGTCAGTCACACTAGATGGTGTAGGGAGAGGAGAGGGGGGAGTCGACATGCATAGCCCAGTGGGCTGAAATGCAGTACATTGAGAACCTGGATATTGTGACCTTTCCACCCAAATGTCAGAGATGTCAGTCCTGCAATTGTTGGACAAAAAGATGAGTTCTTATCATGGACATGAATTCTGGACAGGGAAGGTGAAAAGAACTCTCTGAAATAAAAGGAGGGAGTGAGGAGTGGCTTTGGCCCTTTCTGGAAAACCAGACAAAGATCACAACTAAACACTCTTGTGGGCAGCAGGACTTAGCATCAAAACTAGTGTGTGGAAGACCTTCCCAGATCCAAGGGAAGGACGCTATAGTGAACCTGAGAATGCTCTTGCTACTTTCATTGATGAGCTCTGTGGACTTGGGAATTACCACTCAACCTCTAGGTCTAGTAAAATAGGTGTGTGTGGTGGGGGACGGGAGGGGAGGGTATACCCGTGCTCTGACACATCCTTTGACTTTCATTTATTCTTTTTCCCCAGAAAAGGTGGCCATTAAGATTCTGGACAAGACCAAGTTAGACCAGAAAACCCAAAGGCTACTATCCCGAGAAATTTCTAGCATGGAAAAACTGTACCATCCCAACATCATCCGCCTTTATGAAGTTGTGGAAACCCTATCCAAGCTCCACTTGGTGATGGAGTACGCAGCGGGTGGGGAGCTGTTTGGAAAAATTAGCACTGAAGGGAAGCTCTCTGAACCGGAAAGCAAGCTCATCTTCTCCCAGATTGTCTCTGCCGTGAAGCACATGGTGAGCAGGAGCGAGGAATGAGTCTTGCTTCTGGCTTGGGAGTGTGGGGCCTCCATATCCATATCCCACCAGCAAAGCATGGCAGCCGCATGGCTCCTCCAGAAGTTGGCAGGAGCTGCTCAGAGAAGCTGGATGAACAGCCTGCATTCACTGGCTATACCCTTGTCTCCAGTGTGTTCTTAGCCCTGTTTGGTTACCATTTAACCTTTTTTTTTTTTGTCAGTCGTGGGGCTTGAACTCTGGGCTTGGGCACTGCCCTTGTGCTCTTCAGCTCAAGGCGAGTGCTCTACCTCTTGAGCCACAGCACCACTTCCGGTTTTCTAGCAGTTTATTGGAAATAAGAGTCTCAGGAACTTTCCTGCCTGGGCTGGCTTTGAACCGAGATCCTCAGATCTCAGCCTCCTGAGTAGCTGGGATTACAGGTGTGAACCACCGGCACCCGGCTACCATTTAACCTTTTGTCCTGTCCTATATAGCAAATCCTACCCATGCTTTATGACCAATTCAATTTAGTCTCTCTCTGTCTCTGTCTCGTCTCTCTCTCTGAAACCTGCTTCAACCTCAATTCAACTCACATTGATTTTTCTCACCACCAAGGGGGTTTCTTTAGCTCTGTGGTCTCAGGGTCCACCCAGCACACTGATGCTTGATTAAGTCATTCTTATGGTAGTTCTCTGATTATTTCTTAACACACATCAGGATTCCTAAAGCACTCTGCCCAGTTCCTCTAAGAACTTTTCTGCTCTCTCTAGTCTTAGCCAAATTCTTCTGGGCCCAAAGAAGAAATTTGCCTTGTACACCTGCTTCCAGTAATCTAGAGAGAGCAGAAGAGAATCTGACAGTACAGGGTATAGACATGAACCCTCAGAACCCTCAGAAGCCCTGTGCTCCCCCCGCCATTCCTTCCAGCAATCTGGTCTCTGAAGAAGAGTGCAGGTGAATTATAGAGATTTCGCTGTTTGTTTATGTACAAGGACTCTGTTGTGCACTTTTTTTTTTCCGGTTGTGGGGCTTTAACTCTGGGCCTGGGCACTTTCCCTCAGCTCTTCAGCTCAAGGCCGCTCTATCACTTGAACCATTACACCACTTCTGGTTTTTCTGTTTATGTGGTGCTGAGGAATGGAACCCAGGGCCTCATGCATGCAGGGCAAGCACTCTCCCCAGCCACCTTCCCAGCCCTGCTGTGTCCTCTTGATATAGCACCATATACAGTTCTCACCTTAGTCTCATGAAGTGCTTATCAGTATCATATTTTACAAAGCAGGATAGTGGTATTACTATCAAAACTGGTATTTTGAACCTAGAATTGATGTGCTGGTTAGGCCCCAAAGCATGGATTCTTACCCCAAGGCACGCAATAGGAAAAAAGTAACATTGAACCATTTCCCAAGAGCCCTTAGGACTAAATAGATCAAGAGTACTATGAAGACTGGATCCAGAGTGCAAAGATAGGCAAGGGTATGGGCTGGCAATCTACCATGGGACCTTCTGCAGCTATAGAGAGAGGCATGGCTAGAGGCTGGAGGAGAGCCCCATGCCTTCCTGCTCCTGGCCCAGCCATTAGCTCACTCAGAAGAGGCCAGGAAAGACCCAGCCTTCCTGTTTCATTATATTTTTAATAGGGTTTTATAAGATCTGGGTCTTATTTCTGGTATGAATTCCTCTAGATTGTGCAGAACAAATGCCTACTGTGACTCTACAGAAGAATAGAAACTTTGGTCTGTTTTAAGGGGAAGTTTTTTTGTTGTTTTTGTCAGTCCTGGAGTTTGAACTCAGGGCCTGGGCACTGTAAGCCTCTCTGTGCCCAAGGCTAGTAAACTCTACCACTGGAGCCACAGTGCCACTTCTGGCTTTTTCTGTTTATGTGGTACTGAGAAATCGAACCCAGGGCTTCATGCATGCTAGGCAAGCGCTCTACCACTAAGCCACATTCCCAGCTCTTAAGGGGAATTTATAGGGACTACTCAGGGTTAGAGGTTAAGACAGAGATTTAACTTGATCCCTATTAAATTTCTGTCATAACTCTGCCATCATCATCTAACCTCAGAGCAAACACTACTCATTATTTTGGTATTTTACTACAAAATTGACTCTTTCCCCTCTATGTCTTCTTCCACAGCATGAAAACCAAATTATTCACAGAGACCTGAAGGCAGAAAATGTATTTTATACCAGTAGCACTTGTGTGAAGGTGGGTGATTTTGGATTCAGCACGGTCAGTAAAAAAGGTGAAATGCTGAACACCTTCTGTGGGTCTCCGCCCTACGCTGCACCTGAACTTTTCCGGGACGAGCACTACGTCGGTGTGTATGTGGATATCTGGGCCTTGGGTGTGCTTTTGTACTTCATGGTGACAGGTATGATGCCGTTTCGGGCAGAGACTGTGGCCAAACTAAAGAAGAGCATTCTTGAGGGCTCCTATCATGTTCCCTCGCATGTATCGGAGCCCTGCCACCGGCTCATCCGGGGAGTCCTTCAGCCCGTACCCACTGAGAGGTATGGAATCAACTACATCATGAACAATGAATGGATGAAAGGGGTGCCGTACCCCACTCCTTTGGAACCTTTCCAACTGGATCCTAAACATTTGTCAGAAACCAGCACCCTCAAAGATGAAGAAAATGAGGTGAAAAGCACTTTGGAACATTTGGGTATTACAGAAGAGCATATCAGAAATAACCACGGGAGAGACGCTCGAAGTTCTATCACCGGAGTCTATAGAATTATTTTGCATAGAGTGCAAAGGAAAAAGGCTTCAGAAAATTTACCAGTAATGATACTACCAGAACCCAAGGAAAAAGACCTAAAGAAAGGGTCCCGTGTCTACAGAGGTATAAGAAACACATCTAAATTTTGTTCAATTTTATAAACTGCATCAGACTCTTGGCAATTCACCAAGATCACTGTTGCTTTTTAATTATTTTTCATATACGACTTGGGTGAGGACATTTTTGTAATTTTTAAATAAATTTAAATTTGAGATATGCCTTCTTCCCTTACAGAATATATAAACCCAGATTCTGTCTTGATTTGAGATCTTGTCTAATTCTCAAATTCCAGCATTTATTTAACCAAGAACTACGAGATGGCATTCGTGGCTCATACCTGTCACCCCATAGCTACTCAAGAGGTTGAGATCTGAAGCTTGTGGTTTGAAGCCAACCTAGGCAGAAAAGTCTGCAAGATTCTATTTCCAATTAGCTAGCAACTGGAGACATGGTTCAAGTGGTAGAGTGCTAGCCATAAACAAGAAAGCCAAGCTCAGGCCCTGGTTCAAGCCCTGGCACTGTTAAAAGTGTTTACTACCCACTACATATTAGGGAAAGTATAAGATGCTGAGGACAGCAATGAATAAGGTAGCCTAGAATATTTTAGTAAAGGATAAAGGCACCAACCACCATATGTAATTTTTCAAAAGAGAAATATCAAATTGAGTGATAGATGCTGTGAAGAGAATCCAAATTGGTGGATGTGCTTAGAAGGTTTTTGCTTTAGCTCTTCGAGGAAGGCTGATTTATTGGCAGACATACTGCAGACAGGAAAGCATTCTTTCACTGCAATCATTGAAGGAAAAGCAGGAGTGACTCTTGGGAAATACCAAGAATATGGGAGGCAGATAAGGGGTGTTTAGACACCGTTCCCCCAAACTCAGCATAAGACAAAGGCTTCCAAGTAGAGTAGTTTTGGGAAGTGATTCCACAGCACAGGAGTGAAGGACACAGGAGACAAGGGTAACCGATCAAAAACACATTACAAAGTTGTTATAAGTGCTCAGGTTTTTCTGAGGAGCTTTTTGCAACACATTTTAGATTTCTGCCCAGGGTGTGAAACGGAAAGCCTATTTATTCTCCATCATTCGTCACCTGCCAATGATACATCACTTGTTTTGCATGTTTAGATTATTCCACATGAGTGCCAAGTGGGTTCCCCAGTCTTTCTAGGTCTTTCTGTCAAGAAAGCCTGGGAGCAGAAAGAGTACACCACCATGGTATGAGTCAGGGAATGGCCAAAGAAGACCTGCCTGAAGCTCCAGCTTTTCAGGGAACTGGTCATTGTTTCAGTGACTGGGGAAAGCAGGATGATGGAAAGACCTGAAGTATCTTACAGAAACGGTGTGGCATAGCCCACCCCAGCCCCGCCTCCACTCACAAGGGCCCCTGTGAAGTGCATTCTTTCAAGACAGTCAGACAGGCAGGATTCAATGCAGACTAGTAGGAGCTGCATGTGTGGTTCTCAAGCTCGGCCTCAGCAGCAGTACCTGGAGGGTGTGCGGAGCCATGTGAGACCCCACCCTTTGGTTTTGATGCAGTGCTTGTGGGCTGGGAAGGATTTGCAGTTCTCACTAGTTCCCAGGTGATGCTGATGCTGTTAGTGAAGGACCGGGTTTTGAAACCAATGGAGACTCTATTAGAGCTGGTCCTGAGGTCATCATTAACGAGTGCCCGCCTGTTTAATCATTCATCTTGTTTCCCTCACCTTTGATCAGTCACATAACCAGACTTCATCTTCTCTAAGAAAGGATCAGAGTCCTTAGTTGCCTTGTCTTGTTAGGCAATAATTGCTGCCACTGCCTGTACATATGTACGTATGTATGTATGTATGTACGTATGTATGTACGTACGTACGTATGTATATACATACATTATTGTGCACAAAAGTGGCATACCAGGGAATCTCTTGGGTTCCCGAAATATTCCTTTTTTGCTCCTTCTGATAGTCAGGGTCAATAATCCCCATCAATATAATTTCTTCTTCCTCTGCCTGCTGGTCCGTTGGTATGAGTATCTCAACTGGCCACCTGCTAGGCATGGACTCCCATTCACTAGAAATCTTTATCAGGTTCCTCAAAGAAAGCATCCCCCTGCCTCCTAGGAATCAAAAGCTTTTCATCTTGTCAAATCCAGCTTGTAGGGAAGAAGAGTACAAAACCTCCAAGTGAGCCACTGATCCTAATGATGAGATGGGTCAATCCTACCTCCACCCATTCATTTTGAGAACTGTTATTTTGACACCAGGAAACATGAGCCCTTGTTAATGCATGCCTACTGATTCCAGGAGGACCCCCCCCCCCCGCCAACAGTGCTCATTACTTATGTCTGGGCCTTAGTTAAGACATATCACTGTTTTATCTACAGAGCAATGGCTGCTCTTGATATCGAGGCTTATGGAAGGCAAGGGGATCCCATGGCACGTATACACTGCCCTTCCTCCTTTATAAAAATGTGGTGTTGAAGCAAGGTTGTGCAATGCTGTAACAAATCAAGTATATTCTAAATGCTAGCATGATTGTGTCTGAGGACTCAACACAGGCGGGAAAGGCAAACCCATCTCTTGACAGATGTCGATGCAATGAGGGTGAATCACTGCTGTGCTCATGTGACCATATGACTCTATGGATCTGATAATGCCTACATCATAAGCTAGCAGTTCTATTTGCTTAGTTCCTTGGTATCCCAGAGTGACATGCTTGGTCTCTAGGAGAGCTCAGTAGCAAACAAGATCTGAGTAGGTGTCTGATGCAGAGGGTCTGACCTTACTCCAGGATCCTGTGCTGTAACCTGCTGCTGGGGCTTGCCAGAGATCCCACACAGTGCTCCTCACTTCCATGGACATAGTCTGAGTGGCTCCTCAGTTTGTGCTCAAGTCCAAAACTGCCTTGAGGTTATTTTGTGAGATCTACCTGAAGTAGGAGCCTTGATAAATGGTGTGTGTGTAGACATGTGTATATGACTGTGCATACCCTACCTATCTTTTAGTGCTAAGGGGTGAAAGGAGAAAAAAAAAGTGTCCTTTACTGTGGAAGGACTCTCTAGACACAAACCAGCTCATTGGTTCTCTGAGCCCTTCATCAATGTGACATACCCAATTGTTCATGACGATTCCACCCACACTCTGGCACGATAACTCTAACTAGGGCATCAGCAATATTTGTTGCTTCCTGACAGTCAAATGCTTCAAATGCCATCATAGCATAGTGGCCCAACATGACATTCTGCAGAATGTCAACAGGACCAGGGCTCTGGGGCCTCTCTTGTGGCATATAACACAAGCTTTAACATCACTTTGCGGTGAGAGTGAATGAGAAGTACTTTTTATCCCAGAGGAATATACAACTGTCTTGATCCTTTCTGGTGGAAACACAGAATGTATTTGCCAAATCAATAGCTGCATATCAGATGCCAGTAAAGACATCTACCAGGACAGCTAAAGAAAATCCACTGTCCACCTGCTTGTTTTAGGAATCAGATGGTAAATTAAGTGAGATTACAGTGGAGCTTATTATTCTCATTGCCTTGTTTGTTGCTTTTATTTCTGATAGTGACACCAATAGCTACGTTTCCGAATGTGACTGTTCACTATTTGCTAATATAGCTGAAGGATAGTTTTTCTGTAATTCTTCCTCCCATATGGCTCTTTCTACAGACCCAGGGGCAATGTATATTTAACCCAAATACATATTTGAAGATTGCAGAAAAAAATTCCTAATGTAAGACCCATTATGAGAGTCTAAGGTCAGACTTTCTTGATCACCTGGTTTTTCCATCTACAGATAAAACCATAATGGTACACAAAAGTTCTTGATATGTTATTATGCTTTTGAAAGCAAGGCCTTTTCCAAAGACCAGTTCTTCCCTCCACCGTGCAGTGTATGTTGACTTAGACTTAGAAGCTGGATGAAGGGCTATAATCTTCCTACTATGTTAGAGCCTACTGATGGCAGCAATTCTTCCTTCTTCCCTTTTTTAATAACATAAGTAGCATTCTAATTAGCTGCCTTAGAAGTCCATGGTCTTTAGCCATTGTCACAAAGCTCTTGATCTTAAGGCATCTTGATTTCTATTATGTCCACCTTTCCTCTACCATCCTGGAAGCCAGTCAGATCCAGTGACATTTCCTGCTGCCAATCCCTGCCCCCACACTGCTGTCCTAAAGGTCACGTGCACCCCTCACCTTTGCCTTCTGGATCATCTCAGGGCAAGTAGTGTACAGCGAGGTGATTGCTCAGTCTCATGAAGTGAATTCTAATATTCACTCCTGGAATTTCTCAACCTTGAAGAAAGCAACTCCATAATCCTTACCTTGTTTACTCTTTGCCTTACTCATACCAAACCTCAGTGAGGACCAGCTTCAAGTGTCCCTCACTCCAAGTCACAGGTAAATGCTTCCACAATAATATTAACAAAACACTCTTCCTTGTTCTGCCCTGTCTCTCCTAACTTCATCTCTGACCCAACAACTTATCAAGATACACTCATATTTATCCAACTTACATTCAGCCAGGTTCTACAACTCTTTTGATATCTTTACCACTTTCCTACAAACAAGAGTTAAAGTTTTCCACCAGGCTAGTTGATATCTCTCCGTAGTTCTTGGCTGAAGAGACACAAAAGTATGAGGGCATGAAGGATGCCACAGGTCCCCTTGCAGGCACAGGCCTCACAGAAACCTTTGGCTAATATGCTATTGCCAGTCCCTTAAGAGTAGCTATGCTTTGCAACCTTCCCAGGCTTGTTCAATATGCTATTGAGGCCCAGGCCTCTTTCTCTTTGATAAAGAATTGTCAAGGCTGGGCTTGGTGGCTCACGCCTGTAATCCTAGCTACTCAGGAGACTGAGATCTGAGGATCGCAGTTCCAAGCCAGCCCAAGCAGGAAAGGCTGTGAGACTCATCTCCAATAAACCACTCAGGAAATTGGAAATGGCTCAAGTGGTAGAGCATTAGCCTTGAGCTGAAGAGCTGAGGAACAGTGCCCAGGCCGAGTTCAAGCCCCATATCTGACCAAAAAAAGATTGTCAAGACTTAAATTCTCCCAACTTGAAATTGAAATCCTGAGCCTATTGTAGTTAATTTCTTTCTGTGGCTGACATACTACCCTCTTTCTACCTTGCTTTTAATGTCCTCTTAGCTTTCTGTGCCTTAACCTATTAGTTGGCTAGCTTGTCCTTTTTGACGGGCTCGCTAAACAATAAACCTAGCCAAATGCAGGATCTTCATAGTCTGTATTTTTAAATATCACAGGTATCACGAGATTGACTGTTACACCTTCCTCCTACACAGCTCATACATGCCAAAAGTTTCCAGTACCTTATCAACACTGCTTCAGTAACAAAGTCACCACTCACATTTATCTTCTAGTTATCTTCTAGTTCTGAGATAGAAGTCCTGCAAAGGTCTAAACTAAGATAAAAAGAATTCACTTCCTTTCTTGTTTAACCTCTAGAAGCTGCCTGCATTCTTGGTACACAGTCCCCTTCTTCCATGTTTAACTTTCTGCAGTCACACACCTTCCTTCCTCTGACTAGTCACGAAAGGCTCTCTGGAGAATCACGTGATTAAGTTAGGTCCACTGTCAATCCAGAATAATCTCACATCTAAGCACCAAGGTTACACTGACTCAAAAAATTATTACTGTGTATCAAATGCAGCCAGAAAAGCTGATTTCCTACACACAGAACCCTAAAAGATTTGGTAGGGCCTGCAAAAAGTATACAATCTAAAACTATTGTCCATCTAAGAATTACCTAAGAATTACCAGTAAAATGGGGCTTTTTAGGCTGGAAGCTCTTGATGGTACTAAACAGTTTTAAATTTGCTGTAAAATTCACTTTTCTGGAATTTCCAATGTTTAAGGTTTTGATTTTAGAAAAGCACAGTAACTCACTGCATAAATAACTTTTTTTGGGGGGGTGGGGTGGGGAGGGTCAGTTGTGGGACCTGAACTCTGGGCCTAGGTGCTGTCCCTCAGCAGTTCAGCCCAAGGCTAGCGCTCTACCACTTGAACCACAGCGCCACTTCTGGCTTTTTCTGCTTATGTGGTGCTAAGGAACTGAACCCAGGGCCTCATGCATGGAAGGCGAGCACTCTACCACTGAGCCACCTTCCCAGCCTAATATAACATTTTTATATGCACCACTCAATTTGGGAATTCATTTCTCTTAAGCAGTATAAGAAAACACTATAGATTCTTTCAGCAGAGGATATAGCTCAGGGGTAGAGTATTTACCCAGTATTCCAAGGGCCCTGAGTTCAATCTTCAGCAATACCAAAGAAAAAATCCACATTAGACAGATGTCTCCTTTAAGACAAGGCTAGATGGATCACATGGTCCATTCCTTTATATCTGGCATACCAGAGTGCCTTGATTACAATTTTCAAATGTTTGTGGAAGGGGTGAGTAAATGTATGAACTATGCAACATTTAAAACATATTAAAAAATAACATTATTCAGAAAGGAAAAGACTACTCAAGTACTTGAAATATTTCTCTAAAACTTTATTTCAGAGTTATTCACCTCACTGTGAAAAGGTGTGTGGTTAATGTTCTGTGCCACTATTACCAGGCTTGCCCATTGCCGGCAATGGACTTTGAGAAAACCCATTTCTTGGCACCCAATTGTTAAGTTACTCTTTTAAAACATACAGAGCGTCTAATACTTGCAAAAGTATTACATGCATCATTTCCCCACCATTCTTTAAATCTGAGCTTACATTATTAATCTACATCAGTGGATCTTAAAATGAGGTCATTTTAACAAGTTACAACTGTACAAATCAAAATACTACAATTAATATTAGAGTATCTTACAAACACTACATTACATATTACCTTGCAATCTGAAACATTACATTTCTAAACCATGTATGTTTATTTTAGATAACTGAAACTTCACAGAATTTAAAAGCAAGTAAAGTTTAAAAAATTCTGTACATTAGTTCCAACTATCTCTATTTTACAATCTATAAGGCTCATGTCATAGTTCAGCACCAAAAACATCTACAAAACTTTCTACTAACCTTATTCACCCAATGTGGTAAGTTTTTGTGTTTTTTTTTTCAAGGTGAAAAGTCTAAGAAAAACTTTATAAATTCTTCCAGATCTTGGAGTGGAATACTTTTTTTGGCTAGTCATATTATGTATAAACTTGAGTTATGCCTTGTTATTTTCATTGAACAGATATAAAACAAAAATACACACCAACAAAACAAAAACTAAAAGAAAAGAAATCTTACAGCATAAATTTGTCAGTCCATAAACTGGATTTGTAACACTGAAGCTTAAGTAACCTAAAAATGCCTTGCCCCATCCTTCCTACTTAAATTTAAAAAGGCAGCCAAAAAGAAAATGTTCATTTACCCTTTAAAATAAGGTGCAAAGAAGGATTGCAACAAGCTTTCTCACATTCCCCTGCAATAATGTCTCAATATTGCTGAGCATAATCATATTGAACTCACAATTCCTGTATCCACAATGTGTAGACAAACTGTGTTTTCTATTTCTCTACCAGAAGCCTGCTTACGGCTAACATCTCTGCTCAGAGGTCAATATTGTAATGTTCGTTACTGCTAACCTGACTTCAATCAATAGCCAGATTCCAGAACCATTATAACCCTCTTTTCTGCTTCTTTATAAAGTTTACAAATCTTACAAAACCAGAATATTTGTCTTACTGTTTATTTTCAAGCAGGGTTTGTGCATATCACATGTTAAGTCCACAGTACCCAAGCTAGAAAAGGTTTTTAAAAGCCACAGGTACTTTCAGTAATCTTGTTTGTTCAAAGTATAAAATCCTGTGTTTTAAATTCATAACTAGAGTACCTCTGCTTTCTTTTAACAGAAGCACACGATTGATACCATATTTAAAAACTATACTTCATGCATATAAATGGCCAAAGAGGTATAAAGTTATACAGAGCCCTTAACATCATTTGAGTACATTTAGCGTTGGCCAGACCACAATATGAAGCATGTTAGCAAACTGTGTAGACACTTTTCCAACAACATGACAGTTTTCTAGGCTCTGTGTCAGTCACATAACAATTTAAACATGTAATTCTTTAAAACTGTCCCCGGGCATCCCATTCCTACCATCATGCCCACACCCCCACCCCAAGCCCAACCCACCGCGAAGTCTTGCCCCTCACAGCATGTCTTAATGTTCACCGTTACTAATGACAGCTGCCTCAGGTTCTGCTGCGGTCGCTGGGAGTCTTGGCACTTTCTTAGCAGGGCTTGGAATATGCTGAAATGACAAGAAAGTAGGTGTTGACTGTCTTCTCTTATTCTCCCAAGAATCATGGCTTTCATTGACATTCTTATAAAGGAGCTAGTATGCGGTCATTTTGGAAAGGTTCATGCTACATATGAATTCTACATAGCTTTCTGTTTTAGGAAATGAAATCTTCATTCCTCACCTTACAGTGAATTGACTCTTAATTATCCAGAAAGTAAATGAGAGGAAAGGAAGGCTGCACAGTATTTTACTGGTTACTTTTTATATTTGCAATTCAAATACTTGCTTGACTTGCTACCTAATATTTTTTAAATAGCCAGATTATGCATTCATCAAAATTGGGATAAGCAGAGATTATAAACAACTTCATTTTTTTTTTTTGGTCTAGTTGTGGGGCCTGAACTCTGGGCCTGAGCACTGTCCCTCAGCCCTTCAGCTCAAGGCTAGTGCTCTACCACTTGAGCCACAGCGCCACTTCTGGCTTTTTTCTTTTTGCTTATGTGGTACTGAGGAATTGAACCCAAGGCCTCAGGCATGCAAGGCAAACGCTCTACCACTGAGCCAACTTCCCAGCCCCATTTTTTTTTTTTTTTTTTTTTTTTGGTCTAGTTGTGGGGCCTGAACTCTGGGCCTGAGCACTGTCCCTCAGCTCTTCAGCTCAAGGCTAGCGCTCTACCACTTGAGCCACATCACCACTTCCGGCTTTTTTCTTCTTGTTTATGTGGTGCTGAGGAATCGAACCCAGGGCCTCATGCATGCAAGGCAAGTGCTCTACCACTGAGCCATCTTCCCAGCCCTATAAACAACTTCAAACTTATACACTATTCCTACTTCTCACTCACCAACACACAAACCACACAAATGAGTCTTCTAGACAGTCTTCCTTCAAAAATTCTTAAATTGTGACAATCTAGTATTTAGCATGTACTTTATACCACTGGAAATAGCTCCGCTAGAATATAAGCCCACAGCCCTTGCTCTAAAGTATTCTGCTTTACTGACGCTGAGATCAGGATGTTAGAAACTTATCCCATGAAAGAAGACAAGGAGCTTTATGTACCTCAGTTGCTATGTTTGAATGTACAAGTCCTTCGTCCAAAGTGTGGTCATTTGGTGAAGGGCGCCGAGCGTACGTTCTCCTGTGCTTCTCGTCCACTCTAACTAGGTACCATGTTCCTTCAAACAGTGAGTCTATTGAACACTGGGGAATATAGTTGGCTAAAGGAAAGGCAGAAGAGATTAAAAATTAGTTATAACGCATCTGGTAATAAAACAAAGGATAAAGAATTTTCATATTTCTCTACAATTGTCACTAAAACCAGATTAATACTAAAAAGAGCTTTGCTACCTTTATATCTTAAATATTAATGTTATCATAGCCCTCTAGTCAGTTTTATTTAAACACAATTTAATATTTTACCCAAGTGATGAGTGTCTTCCCTGAGCTTCATGTTTTCAGCAAAAACATCTGGAGCCACACAAGTTCTTGAGTCTAGTCTTGATTTAAGATCACACAAACTTGCTGTTATTTTATCAAGAGCAGACCCTAAAAAAGGAAATTTCATGGAGTGAAATAAAGATGCACTGTACTTACTTATTTTAAAACCAGCATGTTAAACTAAAACCCATGTGTACACCTACTTGAAGGTAATAAAAAGAGTAATAATTTCAATATTGAAAGAATAAAACATCTAAGAAACCTGGATTAAATGTTGCCAAATGAAAACAATTTCTTTTGTCTTTTAGATATCTTATTTAGTTAAGATATAAAGTAGTATTAGGTAGTACACAAAGTTAGGAAATAGGTGATGTTTGAAATTATAAATAACTTTTCTGTATTTAATGTATGGTATAATTTTAAATGCTTCCAAGTTTTCATTTGTTTTTCCTAATGTTTTTACTCCTTCTTGCTCAGAGAAGGCACAAAAGTTTTCTAAAATATAGCCAAGACCATAAAACCTGTTGAAATTGATCTATTCGTTATCCAGTCAAGGCAACTTTTTAAGTAGAATGCGAACATCTGAATAGGCTAAGAGACCTAAAGAATATTAAAATGTTGTAATGATCTATGGGGTGGACTCAAAGGCTTGTTTAAGAAGACTGCAGAAGCAGTCTCATCACAGTGAATTCTTAATACCTTTTTTTTTTTTTTTGCTGGTATTGGAGCTTGAAGTCAGAATCTAGGCACTGTCCCTGAACTTTGCTCAAGGTTAGTGCTCTACTAATTAAGCCACAGTTCCACGTCTGGCTTTTTCTTGGTGGTTAGAGAAAGAGAGTTTCATGGACTTTTCTGCCTGGGCTGGCTTCAAGCCATGAACCTTAGATCTCAGCCTCCTGAATAACTGGGATTACCAACATGAGCCACTGGAGCCTGGCTCTCAATATATTCCTTGTTGAGAGATTTAGCATTTACCTGGTGTGGCATCTTGTGTAACTTTAAGAGAGTACAAGGTAGCAGCCAAGCCCGAACCATAAGAGAACACACCAATCCTCTTCCCTGCTAACTGCTGCGGGGAGTACCTGGGTAGGGTTAAAAAAAAAACAAAAAGTGCTGAGAAGCTTAATTGAGCTGGGTCCGGTAGATCCTGCCTGGAATCCTAGCTACTCTGGGGGTCAGAGATCAGGAGATCACAGCTGGAGGTGGGAAGAGGCGTAAGAATTTGAGAAACTCCATCACAACCAATGGCTGAGCACAGTGGCACATACTTGTCATCCCTAGAGACACAAGGAAGCACAAGCAGGAGTACGCCCAGATCTAAAGAAAGATCTGACCTTGAAAATAACCAAAGCAAAAAGGGACTAGAAGCATGGCTCAAGTGGAAGAACCATCATAAGGCCCTGAGTCCATTCAATCCCCAGTACCTTCAACACAAAAGAATAAACTTAATTGAGCCCAAACCTACTATAGGTTCAAAGTGAGACCTAACTTTAAGCTTTTTTCTTCTTCTTTTCTTTTTTGGAGACAGCCCTGGCTGGCCTTTCAAACTCATAACCAGCCTCCTAGTGCTGGGATTACAGGGGTTCAGACCATACCCAGCAAAATGATATTCTTCAATAACTATCTTAGTTTCAGGATTACAGTAGGGCATGTGAAAAGCTTTAGCATTACAGTGAGTAGATGAAAACAGTTTCATCTTCAGGGGAATAATGGGACTTATTAAAATTATTAATCCACAAAGTAAGTTATTCCATCAACCAAGAACTTATGGTTCAACTATAGATCAATAATATTAGAACCATGAGAACAGAGATTAAGGAAGCAAACCCAGTGTGAAATTAAAAAGTATGTGTGGACAAATCCTCAACCCACATGTTCTTTTCAACCCACATATTCTTCATCAACAGAAAACAATAGACTGGAAAGACTAATAAAATAGCATTTTGTGAGCTACCCACATGCCTGATGCCTGATTGTTCTTAAAATCTAACATTACCAGAAATGGGGGGGGGAGGGGGCGGGTAAAGTAGCTGAAATCCATACTTACTGTGCTAGAACAGAAGCAAGTGAACCATATACTGAAGATGTATACATGTTTCCATTTTGATTTGATACAAGCAAAGATGCCTTTGTTTTCTGGTTAAATAGTTCAGAACTAGCCTTCATAAATGCCTTTTCCACATCTCTGTCAAAGTAAGTGTCTTCTAATTTAATATCCCTGGAAGATTTCAGATAAACAATTCTTAATGTGCAATAACTGTATTTTTAATATATTAGACAATGGACCCAATTAATATTTAAATCTGTGAATATATGAGTCTATTTTCTCATTTATTAAAAGTCAAGTGGAAATATATTAACTATCTTAGCAGTTGTAAACACTGTATAATTCTTTTTCTCAATTTGTTATAGTCAAGGAAAGACAACTTATGAGTTAGTAGACTTATCAAAACAATACAAATCCTATTTCAAGCCCACAGCATAGGAACTAAGATTTGAAAGGTTTTAGTTCATCAAATGGAGAAGGGACAAGATGGGGAGAAGTAGACTTAGGTGTGCATGCATGACATACTAAACAGTAAGAAACCAGACTCCAGTAGAGTGGTATGGGCACAAGGACCAGGCAGTGGGAGAGCTCGATAGGCACTTTTATGGTGCTATTACTATAGTAACAATGAGAGTGGAGCTAAAAGAGAGAAGTGAAAACATGGTAAAAATGATAAAGCCTTCATGTAGGTAAGTCACCACCTCTCTAGGACTCAATTTCTTCTTTGATGAATTTAAAAGATTAAACTAACGAAGGGAAACCACCACAGCAGTGCCACTTACCCAAAGGCTTCCAAGCCACTATAGATGCTATTTTTATCTCTGTTCTGGTCATTAAGAAAGTCATTCAGTAACATCCGAGCTAGAGACTTCTGAACCAGTTTACAATATGGTGAGTGAAAGATCATGAAGCCAAAATCATTTAAGGTAAAATCTTTATCCTTTCCCTCTGAAAAAGATCAAGGAATAAACCTATTATTTCTATTTTATATAAGCCATGAATTTTACAGCTTGACTTTTTTGTGAGGTTTTTAGATCTTGAAATAGCTAATGAAATGTCTACAATTTAAAATGTACAGTAAAAGACATACAGAGATGGACAATCTATACATCACTAATTTTCAAATTCCAGAATCATAACACATCAACAGGTTATATAACAAACTCAGTGGTTCAGCACCAATTTTTGTTTGTTGTTCTAACTAAAATTAAGAAGAAACAGAGCAAACTGGCTATTTTCAAGCATGGGTAAGTAGTATCAAGTAGTTTAACACAAACATATATGTCATTTTTTCTTGGTCCTTTCTTCTTTGGTACTGGGGATCAAACCTATGGTGTTGCACTTATTAGGCAAACGCTCTGCCACTGAGCTACATCCCAGCCCTAAAGTGTACTTCTTACTCTGGGTCCTAGGAGAAAAATGATCATTGGCTTCTTGAAAAACCTACTGTTAAAAAATGTATTTTAAATATATTGTTAAGAAGTATAAATAGTATAGCATATATAATAATTAATAGTATTATACATTGTTAGAGTTTTTCTTATAACAATGTATTTCTTATACTAGTCCTTAATTCCTTAATGTTTGTTATTGCTATTGTTAATACTATTATTGACCATTCTGAGGTCTGGACTCAGGGCCTCACATACCCAACATCTTTTGCTTTAGTTGTTTTTAGGATAGGGTCTCACATTTTTGCCTGGGGCTGAACTCACACTGTGATCCTTCTACTTATGCCCCCATAAGTAGAACTGGGATGAGTGTGACACAATGCCCAGATTATTTATTGAGATGGAGGTCTAACTTTTTGTCCAAGTTGGACTTGAACCTTTATGTATCCACTTCCTGAGTAGGTGGGATTATAAGCATGCATTACCCCATCAAGAACATTTTCAGAGTTAAATAAAGAAATACAAATTCATAGGTCAAGTGCCAACAAATTATTACTAGTGAGACAGGGTCTCATTGTATAAGCCCAGGTTGCCTTTGAACTCACAATCCCAAGTGCTGGGATTACCTATATGTGCCACCATGGCAGGCTTAAGTTACTTTGTTTGTAAAAAGTAAACTAGCTGGGCGCCGGTGGCTCATGCCTATAATCCTAGCTACTCAAGAGACTGAGATCTAAGGATCACAGTTCAAAGCCAGCCCAGGCAGGAAAAATCCATGACACTCTCATCTCCAATTAACCACCAGAAAACCAGAAGTGGTGCTGTGGCTCAAGTGGTAGAGCACTTGCCATTAGCTGAAGAGCTGAGGAACAGCACCCAGGCCCAGAGTTCAAGCCCCACGACCGGAAAAAAAAAAAAAGTAATTTAACCAGAGCAATATCTCATTTTCAAAACCTATTTCATTGTACATCACTTGTTCTCAGAAAATACTGTTTGGTAGATGAAGAAAAACATGTAAAAGCCACGAATAAAGATTGTTCACAAAGTAGTTTCTCACTGAAGCCCCATAACATGTTACACTGCTCTCACAAATGCCAAAACCTAGGAAAACTCAAGAGTAAAACCCACCTTTCTGCCATTGGGCTCGGATCTTTTTGCGGTAGACAGAATAGCAGCGGTCTAGTGCACTGAGGTAGCACTGTATGGAGAGTTTTCCATCTACTATGGGATATTCAGAAAGCATATCAGGCTTGTAAAAGTCATAGGCATGTTGCATATGTGTCCCACGAAGCCCTAGTGGATAAAAGAGAAGATGTCTATTTTTGCTTCTTGAGATTTACATTTAGTTTAAGTATACTGCATTGTCAAAGGATCTTCAGAAAAAGCATAAGATGAAACCAATATAATTGAAACATAACAATACCTAGGACTCCTTTGGCATATATTTTTCATGTGAATTCCCTAAGTCTATATAGGAGATCACAGTAACTATACTGAAGACAAATGAAACTTGCCAGGGACTATGGCAAGTTACTAATGCATGTTATTACTCATATCCTACTTTAAGCCATTTTACTTCTCTGTAAAGTGGGGGTGAGAGTATATGTATCATAAAACTGTTATAAGATTAAATAACACACACAAAGCACTTAGTAGGCTGTGTCTGCATCTAATGAACGCTTAGTAAGTGGCAACTTCTATTTTCAAATGTATCAGGAGAGTATGTCAATAAACAAAACAAAAAAATAAATGTTTTCCTAAATACTCACCACGCTCAAAAACTAAAGGAGCATTTGGGCCAATTAGCAGAGCCACAGCTCCAACTCCACCTGTAGGCCGGGCATTTCCTGTGGCATAAATAGCAATATCTCCTGCAACAACCAGTGCGTACCGTCCTGAAAAAATACCATTTCATGAGTGAGTGCACTATAAATATTGTACATGTAAACTATATTTTTTCCACAGGGGTGACTCCAACTTTGATAAAGAAAAAATTCTTTTGACTAAATTTTAAATCGATCATTTGTCACAATAAGATAATCAATTTACAATACAGATAAACTGAAAATCAGAGACATTCTCCCAAGTATATCTGAATAAGCAGAACCAGTAAAACTTTCACAAGATTAACATTCTATGTAGGGAAATTGGTCGTTGGAGTCTATTCATCCTCATGGAAAAGTAATGGGTTTTGTGCTTTCCCCCCAGTTTTCTAGAAGACAGGCAAATAACTTACCATCCCAAGAGCTAGACTCAATCCAGTTAACAGCATTGAAGACAGCAGCTGTTCCTCCATAGCACGCATTCGTCGTATCAATTCCTTCTATATCTGTATTCCCGGACTCCTCAAACAGCTGCATTAAGTTTGTCTTCACCGATTTTGATTTGTCAATGATTGTCTCTGTACCAACTTCTAACCGCCCAATACAATCATAGGAAAGGTTGTTTCTTTCCATCAAATTCTGAACCACAGTCAGGCAAAGAGAGTTGATATCTTCTCTATCTGTACAGAAGCCCATCTTGGCCTGGCCTAAGCCAATAGTATACTTGCCAGCATCTACACCATCATATTTTTCCAACTCTACTTGATCAACGTATTGAGAAGGAAAATAGATTTCAAGGGCAACGATTCCCACATCTTTTGGCCAACAAGCTTCTGTATTCAAAGGAAGTGACCCAGGCATGGTGAAAGAGCTGCAGAAAGAAGAAACAGAAACAAACATACATGGCTTTAGGTAATAGGTTAACGGACTTGAATTAATTAATCACCTGGAATATTACTTTAGTTTCTCCAAGGTAAATATATTGTGCGTATATCTCTATCTATATATATATCTATCTATAAACACAAGGCTACCCTTTAAAATGACCACTTTTAGAAAGATTCACTTCATTAAAAATTGAGCAACTTTAAACTTAATACATGATTATTAGATTCTTCTACAATGTAACAAAAACCTATAAGATTTGTCAGTTTACAAATATGGCTAACTAATCAAACAGACATTGTTAAGAGACCCATTCCTTATCATGAAAGTTTAAATGAATCTGTCATTGTCTAAACTTATCAAAAATAATAATAATAAAATTTACTAGTTTTCAAGACAGTTGTTATAAGCCCATGGGCAAAGTCATTTAACCTACCAGAGTGTCAATGGATTTAAAAGGTTGTAATAGTCAAGAAATGAGGAATTATTCACAGCATTTCCAGTAAAAGGGGTTGAATCTAGGGGAATAGTTATATAATTTTAGGCTGGGCTAAAGAAAGGAAAGGGGCTAGTTCTTCAGACTCTGGGAGCACATACTCCTACGGAAGATATTGGAATCACCAGTACCAACACTTCCGACTTTGAGTTGAAATCAGAAACGCCCCCCACCCCCACATACTTTCCATTCTTACTTGATTCCTTCTGCTGACATTCTAACCAGAACCCAGCTATAACATAACAGGGCCAGTAAAATATCAGGCTTTGAGCAGTAGTATAGCCCTTCTATGTCTAAAAATTCAAAAGCAGTAGTATAGCCCTTCTATGTCTAAAAATTCAAAAGCAGTAGTATAGCCCTTCTATGTCTAAAAATTCTACAACTCAATTTTTTAAGTTGGACAGTATACTCAGGTGGCAGAATTTCACCTCTCCATTGATACTCTTAGTGTAACAATAAGATACAATGAAACAATAGGACACAATAAGAGGTTATTGCCACAAGGAGTTAATCAGAATACTTCAAAAATTTTCTCAGTGGGAGGGGGGAGGCTGGGAAGGGATGGGAAGGGTAAACAAAGGAGGAGGCTGCAATGCTTGGTAAGAAATGTACGCATTATCCTGCCCATGCAATTGTAACCACAAATAAAATAAAATTAAAAAAAAAAATTCTCAGTATTCTATTTGCAATTAAAAAAACACAAGATGAATAAAATATATAAAGTTTCTTTTTCTTCTCCAAGGAGAGAAAAAAAAAGTATATCATAGAATTCTTTTTTTTGGGGGGGGGGTCCGGTTGTGGGTCCTGAACTCTGGGCCTGGGTGCTGTCCCTCAGCTCTTCAGCTCAAGGCTAACGCTCTACCACTTGAGCCACAGCGCCACTTCTAGCTTTTTTTTTTTTTGCTTATGTGGTGCTGAGGAATTGAACCCAGGGCCTCAGGCATGCAAGGCAAGCATTCTACCACTGAGCCACCTTCCCAGCCCCTATCATAGAATTCTTTACAGGTCCTAAATCTTCAAAGTACTAACAGAGGACAGAAGCCATTTCTTCCTAAAATGACTGCTTGCCCCCTCTGGTGGACGAAAGTTGCTACAAGTCCTATTTCTAGAGTCAAGAAATAAAAGAAAGAAAGGACTTCCTGACCCAAGGCATGAAATGAACCAATAAACTCCTAGGAATAAACCTGTAAGCATAAGATAACTGGAAAAGGAAAAATGAAGCAAACAATATTGAAAAAAAGAACTAAAAGGCAAGCAGGGAAAGCAGCTGAGGATGTGGGTGCAAGGCATGCCCGTGACTATCTCCCCAATAGTAGTACTACCATGCCGCCTGAACTGAGCTCTCTGCCTTCACTCTCCCACAGATACTGCCAGGGTAGAATGGCTCTAGTGTTATAGTACCAGCCTTGAACAAGAGTGCAAGGCCAAGCTCAAACAAGATGCTATTGCCCAACTCCTCCCAAGTTTCTCCATCATTTAGGTTCAGCCTCTTTGCACTAGACAAAGGGTTTTTTTGGAGAACAGAAACAGTTTCTGGACTACGGCAGACATTGAATACAAAATAAAATCCTCCTACTAGTCTTCTCATCCAGTAACAACTATCCAAGGGAGCAGGAAAGAGTAATAAAGGAGATGAATTTGATCAAAGCACATTATATGCATGTGTGGAAATCCCAGTGAGACCCCTTTATACAAATGAGTCATTATAAATAAATAAAAGGCATTATTGGTAGACATGTTTATATGTGATTGTTTCTGATTAAGTAGCTCATGTGATTACATTTTATTATCTATACTTTCTTATTTTTAAACATAAAATTAGAGAGTCTTCGGAAGCATTATGGCATTGGCCTCATTTTCAAGAGAAGCTGTAACTCTGGAAAGATTTAGGAATAAACAGCATACACATGACTATGCTGCCCTGGAGGAGGACACTTCCTAGGTAGCGTGACATGGTGCCATACCTGTGCGAAGGACTGAGAACTGCAGTCTCCAGGTCTGTCACTGCTTCCTCCTTCGGGCACTAGGAATTTCAAATAAGAACTTTTTTTAAAGTCATAAATTGTAACACAAATTAAAAGTAATATGACTTCAGTTCGAAGTAAGGCAAAACAAGTCATGTTCCTATTCAATTACATTATATAAAAAAGAATTCGACATGTGCTTAGGAAACAAATGGTACTTAAAGTTTATAAGACTTTTTCCTTTTCTTTTTTTGCCAGTCCTGGGTGCTGTCCCTGATCCTCTTTGTGCTCAAGGCTAGTGCTCTACCACTTGAGCCACAGCACCACTTCCAGCATTTTTTTTAGTAGTTTACTGGAGTTAAGCCTCTCACAGACTTTTCTGCCCAGCCTGGCTTCGAACCACCATCCTCAGATCTCAGCCTTCTCAGTAGCTAGGATTACAGGTGTGAACCACTGTTCCTGGCAAGTTCACAAGACTTTTGTCCCCCTTATTCTTATATTAGTTAAGTTCAGTCCTATGAATGAAAATAATAGTAAGATCATTACCACACATTCAGGCTTTAAATCAATAGTGATGCTGGGAAAGTTGCAATCTTCTAAATTTGGATTATCAAGAACTGGGAACAAAGAAATATAAATGACTTGTACTGTGCCATTATTAAAGAGACATTTAAGAATTTACTTTGTACTTTGTATTTAGGAGGTGCAATTTGTGCCTCTCTGAATTGTTTCCTCATCTGTAAAGTGAACCTAATGTCTTCCTGCCTTTTCAGTTCATTGTTCATTTTCATTTATTCAGTATTAGACTTGTATTTTTCAGTACCACCATCCTCCCCAATCTCTTCTTTTTTGGTGCCTGTCCTTGAGCTTGAACTCAGGGTCTGGGCACTGAGTTTGTTTTGCTCAAGGCTCTACCACTTAAGCTACAGCTCCATAACCAGCAATTTGGTGGTTAATTGGAGGTATTCTTTGAACTGCAATCTTCAGATCTCAGCATCCCTTTTTTTTGTTTTGTTTCCTATGTCTATACTAGGGCTATCTCTTTGCTTTTTCTCTTTTAAGGCTAGTGCTCCATCGCTTGAGCCACAGCTTCACTTCTAGCTTGATGGTAGTTAACTGGTGATAAATCTTCTAACTTGGCTGTCAGGGCTGGCTTCAAATGGTAATCTCAGACTTCTAAGTAGGTAGGATTACAGGTGTGAGCAACAGGTGCCTGGCGCTTCCCACCATTTTAGAAAATTTTCTCACCTTAGTGTTTGTGTGAAAATTACATGGAAGGAATTTGAAAAAGGGACTTAGGAACATTTTATTCAGTCTGTTTTGAAGGCTATTAGTTTAGACAGTTATTTCACACAATTTTCTTCATTCTAATTACTGGGAATTTTAGCATTTGCCTTTGCCCAATTATAATAAAACAATGCAAATGCTTTTAAGAAAGCTTTCTTTCACATGATTACATCATTGAGAACTCCACTTGGTTTTTGTTCCCCTTTCTTCATTAATTAAGTTTACTTCTCCTCACCAAATGAAGTAAATCTTGAGTTATATAGGAAAAGATGGATTGCTCCATTTAAAAGGGGTCTCTTTCATGACATCATTATATATAGACTTCAAAAATAACCTATCATTTATTATTTATTATATCAAATTATGTTTTTATCCTCTGTAAATTGAGATAATTTTTGGTGTTTCAGGGGGAGGGGGAGAAACATAATTAGCCTTCACCTTAAAGCAACATAAGTCAGATTAATTAATCTAGTAAACATTTTTGTTTCATGATAAACTATAAGCAGTTATAAACTAAGCTTTATGCTATTGGGAAGAAAGTCAGGAAATTGAGAATTAATTAGTAATCTTTAAAATCATGCAAGCAAAATCTACTATCAAAACGAGGAAGCCCAGCAATTACACGAATCTGAATTCAGGGGCTGGGAAGGTGGCTCAGTGGTAGAGCACTTGCCTTGCATGCATGAGGCCCCGATTCAATTCCTCAGCACCACATAAGCAAAAAGAAAAAAAAATCTGAATTCAAACCTTCGTACCAGTGGGAAAAGAAAAGAAAGAAGGAAGGGAGAGAAAGAAAGGAGGGAGGAAGGGAGGGGAAAGCAAGCAAAGCACTCAGGCTAGAAAAGGAAAAAAAGGAAGAAAGAAACTACTCTGGTGCAGATAACTAAGTAATAATCAAGGCCATCCCTGCCTTTCTCCAGAATTACTGCTCTTCCTATGAGATTCTATTCTTATTTCAAGGCCCTGTTCAAGGCTACCTTTTCTAAAAGTTTCCCCACTTAAGTCTGGAAGTTTCTAATCAGGGACTTGCAGACTTATGCAGGTATGTCATTCACAATTTTCACAGCCAACTCTACTGAAAACTAGTTATTCGACAATCTTCTTGTTCATATTATATTCTTAAAACTTCCACTAGGAGAGAATTTGAACTATTCCTTTGAACTTTTGGAACAAAGGCTACCACTTTTTGAGTGATTGGTCTCGAGTTATAATAATTAGAGGACAGTCTCTTGGATTCAAGTACTTGCAACAGACCCCAACTGACAGGTTTTTGGTTGTTTCTACTGTTCCAAGGTCCCTACTCTGAAAATTGTAGAAAGCTAAAATGGAATCAGGAGAGACTATTTCTGGGTCTTCTAATTCTCATACACACCTGCCCCTCCACCGCAACTGCAAATGGCAAAGAGGAAGACAGCTTTGAAAGCCCAGTTTCTCTTTCTCTGCTTCAACTACAATCAGCTGGCAATGAAGCATCAAGTGCTAAGGATTAGGATGCAAAAGTTAAGAATCTAGTCCCAGCATGCTCCCATTAGGCAACAAGTTTCTCAACCTTTGTAATCTAAAATTAATATACCTTCTTAGGACATCTCAAAGTGTAAGACTGTAGGCCTTTCTAATTCACAGTATTATACTTTCTCTGCTTTTGGTTAACATCAACTGTAAATGTACAAAAGATTTTGATATCCAGCATATCAAGCTTCTTCAACCACATCAAGTTCTACTGGATTATGGAAGATCCAAGCAGTTTTAAACACTCTAGAGACCCAGAAAAATCCACGCTACATCAATGAGTGGGGCTTTTCATTTCTTCCAAAAAGATCTATGTGAAATAGATCAAAATCAACCCCACAGTTATAAACAAGATGTAAAAACAATTAGGAGGAATAGTTAAGAGAAATAAAGTGAAAGGCCCAGATGAGGTAGACTTCTAATTTAATATACTCCCCTCAGTAAGATTACCAGTATAGAAATGAACTAAATGAATGTAACTTACCAATTTAAGACAAATTATCTATTAACGTTAGACAAGAAAGATAGCCTTTCCCTCCGTATAAGATTGCTGTCTCTAACTGAAAATAAATGAGTTTGACCAAAGAACACAATTGCTTAGATATCTCAAGTTGAAAGAAATCACTTGCACATGTTAAGGACTTTCAACCTGGTTCCCATCTAACACCGCATGCAGCAAAAAATGGAAACCCCATCTTAGCAGGAAAAATCGTAATTATAGGTACATCCATTTGTCTTCATTTTGTTGTGTATCTTGCCATTGCTTTTCCTGACTCCTCCCCTAAAAACTGCCCGTGTTAGTCAACAGCACATCATCCAGCAGCAGCGGTGGCTCGAGGAGCAGCAGAGGTGGGCAGCTCAAGAAGCCAAAGATGCCTTAAAGGCCAGGGCCACAGAGGCGAGCACGACAAGCAGAGCCAGCCTCCTCCTTCCTCCTCCAGAGCGGGATAAAGCAATCCTGTCTCCACTACTGGTCAGAGCAGGACACATGTTTTCAAAGACTCCATAGGCTCAGGTCGGAAATGTTCTCCACTTGACCTCATATGTACGTACGTATGCGAGAGTTCTGTGAATGCCTGCCTAGCAGGTCACTGTATCACCTAAGGTTTGGTCCTACAGCTAGTAAAGAGAGACAGGTGTGGGATTTCAGAGCACTGAGGAAACCTACTTTATCAAAGACAGACAGACACACACTCAAATAGACAGGTGGAGAGTAGGAAGGAGACCCAAATCAGAGAGCTCAAGCACCCACAGACCAGGTGTCCACACAGCCCCAGTATCTGGCCAGAAGAACCAGGGAAGAAAAGGAATGCTGCCCACTTCCTGTCTCTCCATCCTCCCGGACGGTGGCGGCAGGACACACCCCCTGGGAACCTACAAGCCTCCATCCAAGCAGCTCGTCCCCTCGAAGCGGCGTCCCCACGTAAGCCCCGGCCCCCGGGAACGCCCCGCAGGTCCAGCGGCCTCCTCTCCCCTCGCCCCACGCGCGGTCACAGTCCCTCCGCGGGCCCCTTCGACTCCTGACGATGTCATCAGAACGCCCGGCTCGCCCTCAACGCCCTCCGCCCCCTTCGCTCGCCCCGGGACGGGCCTCGCCGAGCAGAGGCCCCGGCCCCTCCCCGCCTGTCCGCCCGCCGGCCGACCCCCGTCTCCGGCAAGAGGTCCCGCACAGACCCCGCTCTCCGCGCCCCATCCTCCAGGGCCAGGTCCGCACCGGAGCCCCGAGCTCCTTGGGGCCTACTCAAGGACACCGCCTCCTCCTGGAGTACACCCCCCTCACAGCGCCTCGGCAGCCCGGCTTTGTTCCTTCACGCGGGACACTCACCCGAATGTGACCAGGCTGAGACCGAGGAGAAGGTGCCGACCGCGAAAGAAGCGTACGCGACGCCTCCCTCCACTCACCAGTTTTATAGCCGCCGACCCACCCGACTCCCGGAGTCGGCGGGAGGCGGGACCGTGGCTCCGACAGCCAATCGTAACCTGCAGAGTCGTCCGGCAGGCTCCTCCCCTCAGTTCGGTTTCTGCCAATCGGAAGGGAGCTAAAGGCAGTGACTAGGTAGGGTTTTCCCTCGTGGCTGGAAGGGCGGGTGAAGGGGCGGGGACAAAGCCCGAGGGCTGAGGAAGTGGGGTGAGACAGTGACGTGGGGTGGCCCGAGAGTACGCCTGCCAATGGCAGAGTGGCCACAGACAGCGAGAGCCAACCGGAGCGGAGTGAGAGGTTCTGCAACCAATTGGAGTTCAATGAGAGGAAATGGAAGCCAATGAAAACTCGGCGTCCCACCACTGAGGAGAGATGGTCCAGTGTGGGAGGTTAGTCCCGCTTCAGAGTGTGTCATGTTGCCTGGCAACCAGAGCAAGGCTGCACCTGTAAGATTTCTGAAATACTTGAATTCAATTTTAATGTTTTTTAGTTTCCAGAACTTAAAAGTGAGCCTGGATTACATGATGAAGCAGAATGATACATCTGAATTTGGAAATCTGTATACATTCTAAATACCCAATTTGTAAATGACAAATATTGCCACCTCTATTTAAAACTATCCCAATTTCTATACAAATTGCTGTGGCGATCATTTTTCCTGAAACGAGATATTTTAGGAGTTAGAAGTCCGTAAGAAGTATGCTGTGTCGCCCCAATGGGGAATTGACCTTGAGCCCAGGAACTTTTTGTTAGGCATCTGGCCTAGGGTCACTGAAACTTCTGAGTTGAAAGTGCAATAATACCAAATAAAAGACTGCTCAAAAACAGAAGGGCCCCATCATTTTCAACATAACAATTCTGCAGGATAAAGACTTTCTAAGAGGGGCTGGGAAGGTGGCTCAGTGGTAGAGCGCTTGCCTTGCATGCCTGAGGCCCTGGGTTCAATTCCTCAGCACCACATAAGCAAGAAAGAGAAAACCCGGAAGTGGCGCTGTGGCTCAAGTGGTAGAGTGCTAGCCTTGAGCTGAAGAGCTGAGGGACAGCGCCCACGACCAGAGTTCAGGCCCCACGACAGGACCCCAAAAAATAAATTAATTAAAAAAAAGACTTCCCAAGAAAAGAGGGACAAATCAAGCACTAATAACACAATTTGGGGGGGGGGAGAATTATGACCCTAGAATAGACTCTAGTCCCCCTGCCAAACAGAGAAAATATAATGCTAGGGGGAATGGGAGGCTCACCATTTTGTCTGTTCTCATTTCAATTTCATTACTACTCAGGAATTTTGTTAATAAAGATAATTCTGTGCTTCACACAACTACAGATATATCAAATTTATTATATTGTGGAGATACTAAACTAATTAAATATCCTCAGCAGCAGAATTGCAAACTATGGGAACATATGTGAAGTAGTGATGTAAGTTACTTGGAGGAAGAGGACTATTAGTGTTTAAACTCCACCACCATAATTGATTCTATTGCAGAATCAGTGTCTTTTCATATCTACATATCTAGAATAAAAATAAAGAGCTGGACGCTGGTGGTTAAGCCTGTAAATCAAGCTATTCAGAAGACTGGGATCTGAGAATTGAAGTTCAAAGCCAAATGGAGTAGAAAAATCGAGAGTCTCATCTCCAATTAACCAGCATAAGGCCTGAAATAGAAGTGGAGATGTGGCTCAAGTGGTAGAGGGCAAAAAAGTCAACGGGAAAGCATGAAGTCCTGAGTTTAAGCCCCAGGACCTGAGGAAGAAGGAGGAGGAGGAGCAGGAAAAGGAAAAGGCGTGGTGGGGAGAAGAGGCGGAGATCAAAGTTTAAATTGATTGCCATCTACATAAACTAATAAAACCACAAAACTAAAAAAAAAAAAGTTAAAGACATTGCCTGATTGTGAAAATAGAAATTTGAGACAGGATAGGAAGTTGAAAAGCTGAGTATGTTGAAAAGCTGAAGGAACAAACACAAGAAAATAAAGTTTTCACCTTAAAAATAGCAAATAGTAATACCCTCAGGAGTGTACACTAGGAAATGATAAGCATGAGTGATAGCCAGCTAGTCATGACAATTATTGTTTTATAAAACTGGAAATTCCCACAAAGCATAGACTGTCCTTTTGATCAAATAAATCTCCAATTTAGCAAAGTGAACATAGTTATATAGTGTTGGAAAGAAAAGTTGGTAAGTAGATGTAGAACATCTTGATTGAGTTTAAAAAATGAGACTGAGATTCTACGGCTCGTAGATTATGCTAGTCTACACATATATCAGATATAGTGCATGCAATTTAGGGAAAAGCATATTGTATTCATTACAGACTTTTGGTCCATAATTTTTAACACAATGTCATACTTGAATGTATGACATTTAGACTTTAAGATATGTTAAAATGTCTTATTTTAAATTTTAACGCTAAACTATATTGATCAAGCACTGCAAATTATAATTTGTTGTACTTTGAAAGGGGAGAAAAAGGATGCTTCTTAAGAAGCAGGAAGACATAAAAATAATAATATTTAGTATTTCAAATGTACCTATTGAATTATAAAATCACCAGTTGAACTTTCACCTTCTTTTCTTTTTCTTTTTCTTTTCTTTTTTTTTTTTTTTTGGTGGGTAGTTGGGCTTGTCTGGGTGTGGGTGCTGTCCCTGAGCTCTTAAGCTCAAGGCAAGTGCTCTACCACTTGAGCCACAGCACGACTTCCAGTTTTCTGATTGGAGATAAGTCTCATAGACTTTCCTGCCTGGGCTGGCTTTGAACTGCAATCCTCAGATCTCAGCCTCCTGGGTAGCTAGGATTACAGGCATGAGCCACTGGCACTGGCTCATCACCTGTTCTGTGCTAAGAATTATATTAGACTTACGCTGTCTAACATAAGGCCAACACTAACTACGTATGGCTACTGAGCCTTTGAAAGAGAGCAGGTCCAAAGTAAGATGTACTGTAAATGGCACATAAGATAGACCCCATATACTGAAACCTCGCATACACACCACAACCTTTTTTTTTTTTTTTTTTTTTGGTGCTGGTACTGGGACTTGGGCCTGGGCTCTGTCCCTTAGTGTTTTGTTCAAGACTGGCATTCGAATACTTGAGCCACAGCTCCACTTCTGTTTTTTTGGTGGTTAACTGGAGATAAGAGTCTCAACATACTTTTCCTGCCATACTGACTTCAAACCACAATCCTCATATCTTAGTCTTCTGAGTAGCTAGGATTACAGTCATGAGCCACCACCACCAGGCTCATTAATAATTGGATGTGCATTTATACATGCATTATTGTAGCAATAATATTTTGGCTATTAATTTAAAATAAAATCCATTATTAAAATTATTTTTACCTGTTTCTTTTTCTAGATATTTTTATTGTTATCTTAAAATAATTGTATAAGGGGGCTTCAATTAAACATATCCATTTATGTATATCTTTTTAGTTTTTAGTGTGCTGCCAGAAAATGTAAAACCACATCTGCAGCTTCTAGTTATGGCTTGTAAGTGTGCTAGAGATCATAAAACATAACTGGTAGGATAAATCCTGTCCCCAAAGAGAATATAATCTGAAGAATGGAAGAGAAAGGAGAGAAATAAATGCAGCCAGGAGAAAGTTTCATACTTCCACACAAAAGTCAAAATGTAACTAGACTTCTAGGCCAGAGGCCCAACCCCCTGGGTTTTCACATGTCACTCAACATGTGAAAGTAACAGAGGCATAGTGGCGAAGAGCACAGAAAGGAGATTTATTATTCAAGAGAGGCATAGCACTAGGATACAGAACTTTAGGTTTAAGTGGAGGAACTGGAGTCGGAAGAGCTAGAGATATGTAATAATCTTTGGTCAAAGCATGGCCTGGTTGAGGACTATCTCAGTTTCTTCTGGTTTAAACAGTTTTATTTAGTCTGTCTGTCCTGGCAAGTTGGCATCCAGGGGCCATTATTTATAGGGCTTGCTCATTGATACTGTGTCTGTGATGGAGGCTCAGCCCTTTTCTGATGTGAATACTAAGACTCACCACAGTTTTCATTGGATGCCCTAGCCATGCCTGCCCTCAGCAGCCCCACGAGAGCCCTCAGCCCTAGATTCCCTCAGCTCTTTTTACAGCCAAACTCCTAACCCTGTCATGCCGATTTCAGCTATTTCCTGTCCTCTACATTGCCTCTGCATGTCACTGCGGAATTGAAGGAAGCTCCTAGCCTTCTTGATACTAGTCATCACACCTCCCCTGTAGCTTGGAATGGCAGGCATATGCCACTGAATCCAGCCATTGATTGAGATGGAGTTTCATGAATGCTTATGCTGGGCTGGCCTCAGGCTACCATCCCTATCTCCCAACTTTCAAGTAGCTAAGATTATAGGTTTGAGCCACCACACCCAGCTAGAGAATTGTTATTGAAAACTAGACTGAAACCCTGCTGATTGAACAAACTCCCCTCAGCATACTAGTGTTGTTTCCAGCAACACTCGGCTCTAGTTTTACTACTTGCCTTTCCTTTGCCCCATCTTACCCTTGAAGACCTTACTACTATGGGAACATGTGTGAAAAACATTTCTCAAAGAGGACAATTAGCTATATAGGTCAAATGTTGCCAAAGAAGCATGCCTAAAGGACAATGAGAATTCAGAGGAGGAGTATTTAGTCCAGATTGGTGACTAAGGAAGTCTTCCCAGGTCAGGAGATACTCATCTATCGATAGGAATCTTTATTGAGCACTATTATATACCAAGTTCAGGACTTCATATGTGGTAAAAGAGAATGATGCAATTTCTGTTCTAATCTAGTTTAGTGGGAGAAACATGGAATATAACAAGTGAGGTGCCTCCCGCCTGTAATCCTAGCTACTCAGGAGGCTGAGATCTGAGGATCGCAGTTCAAAGCCAGCCTGGGCAGGAAAGTGTATGAGACTCTTATCTCCAATTAACCACCAGAAAACTGGAAGTGGTGCTGTGGCTCAAGTGGTAGAGTGCTTGCTTTGAGCTCAGGGACAGTGCCCAGGCCCAGAGTTCAAGCTCCA